ATTTTCCTTGCATTTTTCATTTTTTTTTTTTTTTAAATATTATTACTATTCATTAAATAATATATATATGTCTATAATGGGTGATAAAAAATTATAGACAATTAGCACTAAATGTTAATAGAAAGAAACAGAAAGATTATTAGTTATGAAAAATCTTATCTTTTTATAATGTATGTTAAACTTCTTTTAGCTATATTTTGTCCAGTTCCTCTATAGTAAGAAACTTAAAAAAAGTACACAAAAAAAATATATATATACGTAAAAAAAACTTATTCAAAACTATAAAATATTTGTAATACCCCAGATTTAAATAAGATAGAAGTTGTGTATATAAATACTTTAGACTACGATTCATATAGCTTGATTCAAATTTCGTTCACGATTCATTTTCCTGTTATATAAAGTTTGAAGTAACGCTTTTGTTTGTGAGTAATGGGTAATGTTTCTGAAAACGATTACAAACTGTAGAACTAAAGTATACTATACAAATGGTATTGCACAACTTGATCTGCAATGGTAGTTCTTGTCTATATACAGGTCGCTGCGTAGATTGGATAGAAATGTAGTCATCAGGGTGGGCGGCTGATTGGCCCGCAGTTCAGATTGGCAATGCAGTGTAGATCTTTTATGTGCATTCACGAAGATGACGATGACTGTGACTGTGAACATGAAAGTGCAAAATAGAATGTCACATAACTTTTGCTTCCATCTAATAGATAATTTTCATTAATTTAAAATATATTTACAATTGCACAATATATCTGTACATGCAATAGATTTATTTAGTGTCAATTATTAATTTTGTTATCATGCAGTTATTTTTTGTTATGTAATACATTTTTTTGTGCTAAAAGTCATTATAAATTTAAATTTCAAGATAAATCTGTTATTTAGGAATTCATATTTATCTGCCTAATAATATTTTTTCTACCTGACCCAGAATTCTTTATGCTTGTTTGAATATGACCAAATATTTGTTTCTATTAATATTACAAACAAATCAATTATCAATGTTATATCTCAGAACAATTTAGTTAACAAATTAATTTCATTGAAATCATGTAAATACAATACAACTTAAAATCATTTTACAAAGACTGGGTATTATTAATACCTGCCACGACCAGCTGGGGAACGACTTCGATACCTTGATGTGCCAGTGCCTTTGTTGGTATAATAATCAGCATTTGTATCTCCACTGGTATAGACATCTTGTGCATATCCATCTCGAGTAACATACCCACTGGCACGATTGGTCATATAATCTTCTCCGTAGTAGTCTCTACTCCTACTTCCACCACCCTTGCCTGCATAATAACCTCCATAATCTGCATACATATTATTTCCTCTGTAATTGAATGCGATAGAAGCAGCAGCTCCATAGCCCCTAGCTGCACCACCTCGACTTCCTCTGAATCCTCCCATCCCACCCCTGCCTCCACCACGACCTCTACCCCGTGAAATTTCCACCCTTAACTTGGCACCCATAATCTCTGTGCCATTCATACTGCTGCAAGCAAGTTCTGCCTCACTCATATTTAAAAATTCAATAAATGCAAAACCTGGTGGGTTAAATGCAACCCAAACTTTGTTTAGCTTGCCATACTTTTCAAATTCTGTCTGGAGATCCTCCTTTTTAATGCTTTCGTTTAATCCGCCGACATAAACGCGCGTATACCCTTCTGGTGTCATTTTTTACCTAAAAATTCAGAGGTACACAAAACTCTTTTTACACTTCGAAAATTCGTTAATATAAATAATATAAAACGGCTATAAATGGTTATGCGTAGTATTTCAACTTTATTTCATTGTTAGAAATGTTTGTGAAATAATAATTCGATGTATTAAGATAATAAATTTTCGCAATGGATTCTTGGTAAACTGTAAAACAAATCTTGAATAGCAACACATCAAAGGCTTGCGCGCCAATGACTTCGAAGATAGTTATTAACTTCACAACAGTATACTTACTTGTATTTTAGTTTCTCTTGTAACTTTCGTTTCTTGACTGAATTTCTCGAAAAATTGAGTAGAAAAAGAATATCCAGTATGCTGTTACTATGATACAATCAATAGGCGAGAATCAACCGGGGTTCACAGTGCACAGAAACTGCATCCGATGTCTTGGCGTCTCCAACCCAGACGCCAAATGCATGTACGGTCTGCTCGGATAAATTAATCTACTTCAAGGAAATATCACGAATAGAAGTTTTATTCCATTTCAAACATTCCTCTCAATAAAGTATGCAATAATTATTTTTAAATAAACTATGTACTTTAACATTTAAATAGACTAAATCTTTCAGTCATTATATTTCACTCATGTAGAACGATTTATTTGAGCAAACCGTACTTATGTTTTTTCGTTAGATGCTAATTTTATCGAAAACAATACAAATATAGTAGATAAAACAATAACTAGTTAGATTCCTCTATAAGCTACACGATTTTTTAAAACATTGGTTGGTAAAATAAATGCTACATTTTATAACCGTAGAAGTATCTTTAACTATGCTACCTAACTAATTTTTGCTTTAATACGTTACTGGTTAAATAAATACGAAATATTTAAAAAAATTTTCTTTAATTACTAATTAAAATATACATTATAAAATTAAAATTTGATGGAATTTGTAATAGATGATTAATATAAGAGTCATATTTCAAAATTCGGTTACATTGTATTTATATATTGTAACATTTTATACCGTTAAATTGCTTTACCAACCACCATATAATGACGCGTATATACAATATATACGACGTATAAAAGAGTATAATGTAGTTTTATGAAGATGGCAGTTTAAACGATATTAAGAATGATATTTGGGTAACATTAACTTTAATAACGGAAATGTTACAATTAACGCGAAGAATTTAGTTTCATATGATACATTGATATAATTTATTATTACACAACAAATGGAAATCACATGATTTTATTAATATAAGGGCGCATAATTTTATTTGTCAAACTTTTTGACGTCTTTCCATTTGAGTTGTCATAGAATTTAATCAACATGCAGCGATACGATATTCTTATTCAAGAAATAGAAGGCATAGACGATTATTTGGGTCCAACTTTTCGGTATGTAAATCTAATTAAACTTTATCTTTTATTAAGAATTTCGTTAAAAAACGCGCTTTCGAAATAGTATCCCTTCACGCAGATGCAACATTTATCGTGCATATGCGCATTAGAAGGGTTGAAAACGGGGGTGGATACCCCCGTAGTAGAATAAAGAAAAATTGAATTAGGGTTCTATTATGTCAAGATTGTCAACTAATCAAGTTGACAATCTATTGTCAGTCATGGTTCCAAAGCACGAATATTTATTATATGAAATAGAATCTACAGATACTAATAGCATAGGCCTTGTTTTCAGGTATTATCATTATCAGTCATCTATTGGTAAAACAAATCTTTAAAATGAGAGAAAAAGTAATAAAATGTTATTATTTTTATTCTTTTTTTAGAGCAATTTATGATGGTCATGAGCATCAGAAATTTATGGAAAAACTTGATGAACGTATCAAAGCACATGATAAAGATATTGAAAGAATGTGCAATCATCATTATCAAGGTTTCATTGATTCAATTAGAGAACTCCTGCAAGTTCGTTCTCAAGCGCAACAACTAAATGTTAGTCCATATATTAAGAGATTAACTTACTATATGAAATAAATAAATATGATTTCATAAAATGTTTTTCTGTAGGCTGAAATATTGGAACTTGATAAACGTATCACTGCCACTGCTACCAGAGTAATAGAAAAAGGAGAAGAACTTGTGAAATCGCGCAAAGTAGAAAGTAATATGGCTGCTGCAGTAGATAGTCTCACCATGTGTCTTCCTGTTTTAGCTGCTTATGCAAAATTGCAAAAACAATTAAAAGACAAGCGTTATTATCCAGCTTTAAAAACTTTGGAGCAACTAGAGCATCATGACTTACCAAAAGTAACAAATTACAGATTTTCTTCACAAATTACTCAACAAATTCCGCAGTGAGTAATATCATAAGATAAAGGATTATTTATTTTTACAGCAGAATGTAACTAAAGAATAATTTACCCAGACATTAAGTGACATTAAGTGACTGATAGATTACAATAATTTTAGACTACGTGAAAATATAAAGGATGCTTCCATGTCTGATTTAAGAGACTTTTTAGAAAATATTAGAAAACATTCACCAAAAATTGGTGAAGTAGCTATGAGACATGTAAGTAAAATTTACAACTTCAGAACTTAATTTTACACATGCAATACATAGTTTGGTTTTACTACTAGACACAAGAACAGTTGATTGTTGAAGCAGAAATTATTGGCCGAAAAAAGAAGAGATCACATACAACAAATTCTTTGTCAAATGAATCAGAAGAAGAATTAAGTGCACAAGACTTAATGGATTTTAGTCCTGTTTATCGCTGCATGCATATTTATACCGTACTTCGCGAAGGAGAAACATTCAAGATATATTATAGACAACAAAGAAAACAACAAGCTAGATTAGTGTTACAACCACCTATTAATATGGTAATTATCACTGCAATAAGTTTCCCATATTTTCAATTAAATTTTCATTTTATATTTCCAGCATGAGAGTATAAGTGGTTATCAAACATACTTACAAGGTATTGTAGGATTTTTCGTAGTAGAAGATCATATTTTAAATACCGGTAATGGTTTAGCTACACGCGTTTATTTAGATGAGTTGTGGCAAATGGCATTATCAAAAATCGTGAATGCATTACGCACGCACTCCGTAAGCAATGATAAAATTATGTTTAAATATTCGAATGTAATAAAATATTATATATAAAAAGCTCATTTTTTAGGCTTATTGTACGGATGCGACACTTATTTTAAAAATAAAAAATCTTATAATGTTATTCAATACAACATTAAGGGTGAGTAAGTTGATACATTGTAAATTTATTATTAATATGACGTTTATTTCTCTAATAATCTTTTTCTTTCTTTATTTTTTCCTTTTCTTTTTTGGAAGCAGAATTATGGGTATTCTGTAGGTCAACTTTGGGATTTATTACAAGAAATTAGAGTACATTATAATGAAGTTCTAATGCAACATTGGGTTCAAGTATTTAGAGACATTTTAGACGAAGACAGTTTTTTACCAATTCAGGTATGTTTCTATTATGGAAAGTTATACATTATGCACATAATCTTATGTGTATGGTGTTGTAGGTCACAATGCAAGAAGAATATGACAATGTTCTTGATTTATTTCCATATCATGATGAGGAATTACAGAAAATAGAATTTCCTAAAAAATTTCCATTCTCAGATATGGTACCAAAAGTTTATCAACAAGTAAAGGAATTCATTTATGCTTGTTTAAAATTTTCTGAAGATTTAAATTTTACTCAAACAGAAATAGATGAAATGATTTGCAAATCGACTAATTTATTATTAACAAGAACATTTAGTGGGTGTTTATCATCACTATTTCGAAAACCATCATTAGCACTTTTACAAGTGGTTCAGATTATAATAAATACTGGTTACCTTGAAAAATCTACGAAATATTTAGAAGAATTTGTATCTAATATTACAGGGTAAGTTAAACAAATGAGTTATAAATATTTATTATGTATTTAATATTATATCATATTTTGTAATAATATTTTGTAATGCACAATTATAGAACACCACACGAAGGACAATTGAGTTGTGTGGGTGTTGAATCAGCTATGTTTAGAGTTGCGAGGGATGACGCTGAAAAACAGATTTGTGAGAAATTAAAAAATAAACTTGACGAATTTTTAGAATTAGAAAATTATGATTGGAACTTAGCAGAACCCCAAGGACATGCGTCTGGTTTTATTACCGATCTCATAGCGTTTCTGCAAAGTACTTTTACATGTTTTACTAATTTACCGGTACAAATTCTCTATATCATTAATTTACGAATTTTATAACTTTTTAGATATTTTATAAACATCAAGGTGAATATTTATATTTCAGGATGAGGTTGCACAAGTTGCCTGTAAATCTGCTTGTTCTCATATAGCAAAATCTATATTAGGAATATTAGTTAGTGAAGACGTGAAACAAATATCTATGGGTGCTCTTCAACAAGTCAATTTAGATACAATACAATGCGAGCGTATGTGTTCCTCTATTTTTTTATTTTTTTATTCTTAAGTGTACAATATATGGTTACAAAATATTTTGTTGCGATATTGAATTGATTCGAACATAAATTAGAAAATGATCCTTTAATTTTTAGAATTTGCTGCCTCAGAACCTGTTTCTGGTTTACCCGAAGGTACCTTACTTCAACATTTTGCACAATTAAGACAATTACTAGACTTATTCATGAGTTGGGACTGGCCTACTTATTTTCATGACTATGCCCATGAGTCAAGTAAATATCATCTGGTAACTCCAAACATGGCTGTACTTTTGTTAGAGAAGTATGTACCATGTCTTTCCATTTTGTGTAATACTACATTATCAATATCTACATTTTAAAGATAAACTTTAATCATACACATTAAACATTTATACTTACAGATTAAAAGAATCTGATAAAAAAACAGTATTTTCCGTATTAAAGAAAAGTGAGCGGGATAAGAAAAAACTCTTAGAAACTGTGTTGAAACAGTTACGTCAATTAGCACAAACTACTCAGCAGTAAATGAAAGTAAAAGTCATTATGTATATACCTCAAAAAGAGATTGTAAATACATAAATTTTAATATATAAATACGCTTGAAACATAATTATTTAGAAACTTGTTATTATAATAAAATGATTGTGACAAAATTTTCATTGATCAGTCATATGTTCCTTATATTGTCATGATACACTTGATCGTTAATATAGTGATTTCAGTGCTATGCAATGGTTTACTCTTTACTGTGCTCATTTCAGTATGGTATCAACCTTTCGATGTTTAGTTATATTGCAACCATCTCTTTTTCTTTCATACTTATCAAATACTTTATGAAATATCAAATTTCAGGCAATAAAATATAATACATCACTTAAGTTCCCATTACACTTATTATTTCAATTGTTTTCCTCCTAAATTGGCATTATTATGTTACATGTAAATGAGTTACATATTGTACAATAACTGTACAGTGGATAAAGTATGACATATAAAGTCCCAATTCCTAAGTCTTACAGATGTAATTATCTTCAGAATTAAATATTAAAAAAATCAATGTAATTCTTTAAAGTTATCCGAATTGCACATCGATTTAATGATGCCGAACATTCATATCGAAATATAAAGTAAATACATATGTAGATAGATAATTATATTACGAGTAATAAAATAGATTAAATACAAATCAACAATAATTCTTGTAAAATAATACCAAGAGCTTAGAGTTTGATTCATGAATCAATTCGATAAGTATTTAATAGAGGTAAAACAAATTAATAATATGCATATATAGACCAATTATGATGCATGTGGCACAATTTAATTGGTGATATATAATGATTAGGACTAATCATCAATATTGTCGGGATCCACATCATCAGGTAGCATGGAATACTTGTTGGAAGCTACGAAATTCTGAAATAAGAAGATGTTATAAGTACTTATTGTGAACAAAATTGATTAAATTTTTCCACTTACTGGAGCTTGCTCATCCTTTGCTTTTGGCATTCTATTAACATCATCTTTTTCTCTGTCTCTTCGATCTCTGCAAATGTAATAATGTAATTAAAACACAAAAGTTTACTTCTCGTATAGCCTTGCCCATCTATGTTACCTATCTCCACCACGAGTATCGTTTGATCGTGGGGGACCTCTTGAAGATGGCCGACTTCCACGAGAAGAGGGCTGCCCTTTAGTGTCTCCATATTGATCTAAATTATTTAAAAGATATATCATATAATGAACTATTCTATAAAAGTTTATATATAATTATATCGAATCAAATTTACCAGAATGAGCAGGTTGACTTCGTACTGTCGACCTCATTTCATTTCGTCGACTTCTGTCATCCTCTGATCGCCGAGTTGGTCGACCTCCTTCTCTTTCTTCACGACCCTCCTATTACAAGTAATAAACACGTATAAACAAAATAATGCAATACAGGACATATTACACAATTTTATATGGTGAACTTACTCCATTACGTTTGCCCCAAATACCTTCTTTAAAAGCGCGTTTTTCAGAATCTCTAAAAAAGAAACAATCATTAAATATTTTAAAAGAAACTACATTCAAACACAAAAAATTTCTCCATGTTCCATACCCGTCTTCTTTGGGTTTTGATTCGGCATACGATTTTGCAAGACGTTCCTCTATTTCTCTTTCTCTGGCAGTGGTATCTACAGGTTTTGCAGCACCAAATATATTTGTTGATGAAGTGGGTGCAGCAGTAGGTGGAGCTGCAGGCTGTTCTTCTTTTACAACAATAGGCTCAATAGGTTTTGTACGAGGCTGTAGCTTCAGTTTTGGCCTAGTTCTTGGTTCAGCTATAATGACAAATAACTTTTTTATATATTTTATTTATCACAAAGTAAGCAGTACGTACGTTTACCTTCCGAAGGGGGCCTTCCCTGTCTACGTAGGCCATCACGATCCCAATCAGAATCTCCATAATTACGACGTGAGCCAAAACTACTTCCTCTATCTCCTCCATCTCGATCTCTACTATCCTTATCATAGTGAGACCATTCTCTATCTTTATCTTCATCTTTGAAACCACCTCTGAAAGATGGTCTTGCTCTGTCGCTACTCTCACGCCACGCCCCAGGTTTATTATCAAAGTCAGAACCTAATTAATGAGCAAATGAATTATATAAACTTTCTATTGATTAATTATGAATACATATAAAAATTACTATAATATAAACATACTTTCACGATCATCTCTTCGGTCTCTATTATCATATCGACCCCGGTAAGAATCTCCATCTGATGGTAGATTTTCGTCACGTGGACCACTTCTCCAATCTCCGGATGTACGTTCGGAATCATCATAATTGTCTCTGCGATTATCACGACCCATTCGACCACCACGACGATCATCAATAATAGTATTTGAAACATCAATGCGTACTCTCCTTGTTTTCATAAGCTATAGATATAATAGTTTGCGCACAAAATTACTTCAAAGTAAAATAAAATGCTCAGGATTAAAATGCAAATATTCCAACTTACAGTATTGGATAAACAAAGAGCATCAATTAAACTTTGACGATCTTCAAATTCAACATATCCATATCCTTTAAGTTTATTAGAATCTTTTGGTAAACGTATGTTTGAAATCTAAAAAATTGTAATAATACAGATTGTCATAAGTCCATATCAATCTTTTACTATTATATGATAAAAATAAATATTTATTAACCTTCATGTCAGTAAAAAATTCTGTCAAATATGCTTCATCCACTTCATAAGGAAGATTAGAAAGATATGCTACATAAGGTGGATTAGTAGGAATAATATCATCTGTGACTTGAGGGTCTCTTGCAGCTCTTGGAGCAGTAGGCAAAATCACAGGTTCTTTGCTACTTCTTGATGAAAAACCTTCTATCGCATATCAATAATTAATATATTTTAAAATCATATAAATTTGATATATGCTTAATAGTGATTATTTCATAATTTCATAATAGTAATCTCTAATTTCAGATTATTGTTATTAACTATCAGATTATTATTGTTGATATAGATGTTAAATATTTATCTCCCTCCCTCCCACCACCGCATCTCTCTCTCTCTCTCTC